GGTTTAGAAGGGTTTTTAGGGTTTAGGGTTTAGGGCTTAAGGTTTAGGGTTCAGGGTTTAGGGTTTGGGCCCCCCTACGCCCCCAAATCTGAAGTTCCTCCCCGACTTTGATGCAACTATTAAACGGGAGTGTTAGGGGGTTGGGGCAAATCTTAAATTACTCCCTGACTATAATCCAGCTACTACGGGAGTATTAGGGGGTAGGCGGAGGGGGGGGGGGTGAGGAATTCGGAGGCATGAGCTTGTCGGAGCCATAACTTCGCCATCTGTGAACATGAGAGATGAACCGACATTCAAAAGCACGGCCAAGGGCCACTGCTGAAGGTTATTGAGTAGTTCTTGAGTAGTCATAATAGTACTCAATAGCTACTCAATAACCTTCAGCAGTCATTGTTTTAGGCCGGATGCAGTCTGCGGCAGCGATTGCGCTTGAGTCGTCTTTATGCTTCTGACGCAGCGGTGTTGCGGGACATATTGGCTAAGCTTTGCCTTTAGAGGCTTCCAGGGCACTGAGCTCTTGCTCTTGGCCGGATGAGGTTGCCAACTTGGGTTTTCATTGTTCAGCTGTAAGCAGGCTGCAAGTTCTTCTTGAAGCATCTGGGCCCAGGCCAGTCAGCGAGACATTGGCTTCAGGCACGGCCCGAACTCAGAACGCCACAAATCCTAGACCTCGATCCGTCTAACGGCCTAAGCTTCAGGGACATGTCGGAGCCCAAATAGTTCGGGCTGTGTACAAAAGCAGTTTTACGGTGGCCAGCGTCCCAGGTTCTTGCATTGCGATGTCCCTATAGAAGACTTGCAACAAGACTCTTTCCGAACGGCACGCTAGCCACCTCAGGGTGTGCACCAGCATTGCTCAGGGTTTAGGGTCTAGGGTCTAGGGTCTAGGGTTTAGGGTTTAGGGTTTAGGGTTTAGGGTTTAGGGTTCCAGAAGTCGCCCTCGTAGTTCAAGCGGCACAAGCCAGCCAAAGTATGCACGCAGACAGTGGCTGCTCAAAGCACGTTTTAGCTGCCATGCGCATTGCCTTCAAACAAATGAGCGTGCTTTTTCAACCATGCAGTGTGAAGCGAGCCTGCTTGTCGTGTTTCATTGGAGGGCAACGGCGCGAGCGCATTGAACAATGCATTCGAAAAACCATCGAACCGCACCAGCAAGCTATGTCTGGGATTGTGAAAATCGGAGGATACGCTTCCTGCACGGGCACCTCGATCCTGATTGTGGCCGGCACCCTGGACACACTTCTTGCATCATTGATGTCGAATTGCGGTTTTTTGGGCATAATTTTTGCGACATATCTCACGCGGCGCCGTTTCTCATGCTTGGCATGGCGAGCTTCGACTGTTCCCTGCACTATCTCGCATAGCCAACGCACTGCCCCCGACTACGGGGCTCTCGGATCTGCTTTCGGCCCTGTGCTAGATGCCCTATACCGCTCCAGTCCTGCAGATCCTACATATCAATATTCAATCTCCTCATAACTCCGCTCAGCAGCCGCGAAGTTAGGATGGCCTTCGCGCCGTTGGCATTCCGGCACGCATCGCAGTGAGCTAAGCTGTCCCAGTATTTGCAGTCTAGCAGTTAAGCTGGGCACTGAGCTGGAGCAGCATGCGGTCCTCAACTTGGGGGTTGCCGTGTCGCTCTTCCTAAGTCCAAGAATGTCATATCCAGAATCCGACTAAACGCAACGCCACCGGCCTACAAGATCTATGTCTACGTATCCCCATATCGTCAAGGGCCTGTTCGCAGAAAAGAACCGAGAAACCGACCATGTTAGCCCTGTTTTCGGAAACCCCAGATAGGTCAGTCAGCAGCAGTTGCCCCTGCATCGGTGTCAAGAGACCATGAGGCAACTAGGGCAACTAGGGCCTGATCACAGAAATGCCAAGCCACCTCGTTTCGCGGAGGCAGGCACTCCTGAATGGAACGTCCCGGCCTCACAGTATTTCGGGGGTCGCGGGTTCCGCTTGGGAGCTCATGCTTTGGACGGAAAGGGCTTGTGGCAGGGGATTTGCAGGGCTGTGTCGACCTGTAGTGTTTGCTCAGCTCCCTTCCGTTTCAGGGAGGTGGGGCAGATGGTCAGTGGGGCAGATGGGGTTAGACGACATGAGCGGGCATAGTTCGAGCATGCCTTTGGAGCTCCACCGAGTTTTATCCGAGTTTTCGATCTTCGAGCCTTCTGTGCAGTGCCCAGATCCCCACCGGCGGCAATCACAACTGGGTGGAGGTATGGCCGCGACCTCAGAATTGAATTTGGTTGAACGTTTGCGCTTTCCGCTTGAAGTTCCCTCACTTGGTGTTCATAGTTTGGGACACGCTTCTGGTGATCCAGGCGTCGCGGCAGCGTTTGAAGGGAAGTTGTGTGAGTACTTGGGGCCAGATGGGCTGCTGTATCCCAACAGGTATAGGATAGCGATGGTTGTCAAGACACTGGCTTTGGGTTTGCTACCTTGCTTGGGTGCTGAGACTCGTTAAAGTCTCGTCTTTCCCCCTCCGCCCATGCCAAAGTTGATGCAAGCCCGGTGCACCTGGCAAGTTCACTAGTTAGCATAGAAAGCTGGCAACAGGTGACGCTCGAGTTTATAAGCCCCGTAGATCCCTGCACAGAGTTGCCGAAAGCTTACAGCCACGGAGCTCAGCAGGACCGGTGATGGCTGGCATTTCTTTGATGCCGGCAGCCCAGTACTAGAGCTAATAGGACTTCAAGCTCAGTAGTTCAGGTCTCGGGGGGTGCAGGTGACGCTTTAAATCTCCGAATGCCCATGGGCGGTTTGGGCTTCAGGCTTTAAATCTCCTCAGCTGCCTCCTCCATGTCCGGGAAATGTTACAGGGGGCTTACAAGAAACAGGGGAATTTTCCTGAAGAGCCATTCAGAGCCTGACGCACCATGGAGCCCCCGAGTCGTCTGAACACCGGTACTGCAAGGTGGGGCCCGTGGGGCCCCCTAGTTGGAAGTAGAGTTAACAAGAGCTTTAAAAATTGGGTTCTAAGGATCCTAAATTAGGTTATAAGTCCCTTAACTACAGTTAGTAGAGTAAGGGGGCCCCTCCTTGTAGTTTTTGAAAACACTGTCTTGAACAGGCTCAGCCCACCGTCACCTTGGATGAGGCCTCTGCCTGTGCACTTTGCGACCTTATGGGCCATATTAGAAGCAGGGTATATATTTCTGTTTTTTGTGAGTGTATATAAGGTTCCTGTTTAATTTTGGTGAATGTATATATTTGGTGTCCTTTTGGGGGATACAAGAAATATAAACCCTACTTCATATGCATTCTGCGATTCTGCAATGTTGGTATCGCCCCAAAGCCCTGCTTTCACCGTAGAGTGCCGAACCATGATCCCCGAACGAATTTCTCAGCTTGGAGACTCCAATAAGTATGTCCAACTGAACTCGTTGTTGAAGAATTGGGGCCATTTCTATTCAATTCGGGATCACAGGCTTCGCGTGAGCGTGTCCCTGGGCTCTGTGGACACATCTTCAACCTGAGACAAAACACGCACCCGGGACAAAATACCCCAGCCACTGTGGTTCTCGGTCGGGATTTCGGGTAGGGTTGTGCATGTCTCGAGATACTTCAGACTCAGAAAGCTCCATTAGATCATCTCTTTGCCTTGTCCCATGTTTTTGGTCGGGACGTGGGCACTTCGTGGGTCGCGTGCTTTTTCTGAACTGATGCATTTTTTGTCGGGGTTCCCTCATGTGAAGTACATGAGCATGTAGATGAGCCAGTGCCGGACTGCGGGAATTTGCAACAAGATTTTTGAACAGAGCCTGTACAGACCGCATGCAAGAATATCCCTGTGTCAAGGCAATATCTCGAAAGGAAAGCTCCACAATAATTAGGCATAATATTCGCATTCAGAATATTCATAATATTAAAATCATGTATAAAATAGCAAAATCTGATACTACTGATAGTACAAGTTGAGGCTCAAAACACGGAAACCTTTACTTGTCTCAGAGTATCTGCCGCGGGAAGCAGATTTGTGCAGGCCTGGTTTGTGCCCGGCAACACGAAGCACGCCACAGAGGCCTGCAATCCTTGTGGCAGTCCGGATCCTGGTCCCCAGTTTTATAAGGTGTTTCTCTGCATGCCGTGAGGTTCTTGTCACTGTGTGGGTACCCCGCTCGACTGCGATATCACTGAAAGATGCTACCTTTTCTGCATCAAGCGTTTCAGTTGGGCGGGTCCCGAGCACCCTCGACCCCGTCCCACCCTCGAAGAGGATGAGGATAGGGTTTAGGGTTTAGGGTTTATTTAGGGTTTAGGGTTTAGGGTTTAGGGTTTAGGGTTTAGGGTTTAGGGTTTAGTTAGGGTTTAGGGTTGAGGCTTAGAAAGTGCATTTTCCTGAAGTGGCAGGAGCCGCTGCACGCCATCTACGCCGCTGAATGGCAGAGCGGGGCCTTGCCCTTAACATCCCTTAGCGCCTTGAACCCAAGATGCGACAGGAGGTGCTCTCATGCTGAATGTGTGCACATGTCGACTGGTGCCGGAATCTGCCATTGCATCTCAACAAGAAACTTGGTAGAGCTCTTTCCTTGCGCCAACAACACGAGAGCAACACGAGAGGGCTCATGCCCTCACCCCACCATGGCACATAGTCTGCTCAAACATAAAATCAGACAGAGTTTCGATTGCTGGAGCCCTGACCGAGCTTCGCAACTCGAAGTGTTTTGGGTGCAGGGCGCCTGGTGCAGCCTATCGGTGCCTACCTTGCGCATGTAAGCCCTTTAACGTGCATGGAGCTGTGTTGCCCACAACTCTGAGCGCCGGAACCAGACGCCCCCGCACCATGCTGGCCCGAATCCGCATATTTAAATAAACTCGAGGATGCCGACTATCCGCTTACCTGGCGCGACCCCGTCGTGAAGTGGAGGGCGAAGGACACCAGAGCAAAGTGTTGCTTTTCGGGAGTGCTTCTTTGTGAAATGGTCGGGGTTCTTGTCCAATTGCGGGTTGCCTGCTTTCCATGACGAGTGTGCTTTGAGCTGATCTGTGTCATGCTCCTGCACGCAGCATCGCCGATCGCATTTCGCTCGGACCAGCTTGCTATGATGCCGCGCCTTTGCAAGGCCTGTGCTTTGCAAGGGCCTATGTTCTTACAAACGTACCGGCACCACAGGGTGCGCCATGCTGCGGTGATCGCCTCTGCTGCCGCATGCCTCTTGGGCATGCGCCTGTCTCCCCTGACCTCGGCCTTCGCCGGCTCTGGCTCCTGGCCGAAGCATCGGCAGTGGACCCGCCGATATGCGGAGGCAGCGACGGCAGCGACCTCTTACAAGGTGCTGGTTCCCATCGCGGAGGACTCGGAGGAGCCTGGGCTGCTTTTCGCTAGCATTCCAACACCAGAATGCCGGGCTTGGGAGTAGTTGTGAGCCTTAGCCGGCGAACTAGGCCTGTAGAAGGTGCTCAGTTATCTTCTCACATGCCGTGTGATGATTGAGCCCGAGTTTGGTTCGGGCGATGTTTTTTGCGAGACGAGTTTTCCATGACGACGGAACCCCGAAAATCCTTGAAGAAGATGTCAGCTGAGAAGCCCTAAAGCTAAAAAGAGTTATCGGGGTGTCAGCCTTTGCCCTTAGCTTTCGTGCCGTTTATGCCAGCAAACCTGCCTTGCTGGGTCAGCTGAAGCTGATTGGAATTGGAGTGCCGCAGCAGTTCCTCACCGCAAAGACTTGAACCCGGTAGGATAACCGAGGCACCGAGGTAAGCGGGATGATATCTTACTTCTCGGGCTCTTGTTGCTTTGACTTTTAAGCTTTGCTTTAACATCTCCGAACCCTAAACCATAAACCCTAAACCCTAAAGCCTAAACCCCAAACCCAACAAGGAAATCGAGACAGCTTGCATCACGGATGTCCTAACCCGAGCTGGCGCGGACGTGACTGTGGCAAGTGTCAGCGGCGCGTTGCAGGTGCGCATGTCCCGCGGGCTGCTCTTTGATGGCAGCAAGAGATGGGGAGACCCTAAACCCTAAACCCTAAACCCTAAACCCTAAACCCTAAACCCTAAACCCTAAACCCTAAACCCTAAACCCTAAACCCTAATGGTTTAGACATGTTTGGGACGGTTTGGAGGTAGTCAGGATCCTGAAGCTGACGTAGCCTTTAGGGTTGAGAGGACAGGATGCACAGGGCATTTGCATGGCTAAACCCTAAACCCTAAACCCCAAACCCTATAGTTGAAACCTGGGGAAGTGCCAGTTTTTCGGGCATTGGGTTCAAGAGTGCGGCCGCCAAACTGAAACTAGAGAATGCCGAAATGCTGCGAATGTAAGGAAGGTAGTGGCAGACAAGAGCATCGAGGAGTGTGCCGAGTCTCCACCTCATTAGTTTGTTGGCACACAACAAGAATCATAAGGCTCTTGGGCCAAAGGTTCCTGCGATCATGAGCATGCATGTGCCTCTTCTCTTTTAGTAGAAAGGGCGGGGGTGAATCTGGCTCCTCCGGACATAGGATGGTGCAAGATGCAAGTGCCTCATGTCCAGCAGCTCAGGGCTCTCCACACCATGAATGCTTACACAACTTGGTTTAGGGTTTAGGGTTTAGGGTTTAGGGCTTTTGAAAAATTGGGAGGGGCCAACAGAAAAGCAGGGGGCTGTAGGGCCCCCCTCCAGCTCCCCAAATCCGAAGCCCTTGCGTGTTTGGGAGTGCTGAAGGGTGACTCACCAGGATGTGCCAGCTAAGATCCTAAAAGCCCTAAACCCCAAACCCTAAACCCTAAACCCTAAACTTCTCAAGAGCCTTTTTCTGTTCAGCGTATACAGGCCTTGCACCGTCTCTGCCCATCTACTACCTGCCGAAGCAGACTAATTGCGAATTCATCGGAAGGTGTAGAAGGCTTCCAAAGTCAGGGTGTCTCTAGTTGAACCGCCCTGGTTTGCCCTCATCGTGGTCTGGTTGCAACGCTTCCGAATCAAGGCACCTACCTGAGAAGCCCTAGACTCTTAGACCCACTTCCTCAAGGACCAGCAGTGGGATGTTATCGCCTTGCCAGGCACGGGGACTGGGGCTTATGTTGGCATCCTATCGCCTTGCGATGACGGTGTGGTAGTTCATAGTCCTTCTGGCCTCGGATGGTCGGGCTATTAGGATTTGGGAAGTACGTATTCATGGCAAGGTCGCACGCCTTGTCTCAATTTCCAAACCCAAACAAGGCCTGGCCGACATGGTGATGGGAGCAAGTGCCATCACTTCTCCACTTTGATGCAGGTACAAGCAAGCCAAACACCTCGTAAGAAGTGACAGGAACACCTGAAAATCGAAAGCCCCGAGTTCAAGGAGCGTTATGTGGCGATGTGCCGATAGAGCGTGCAAAGTGATGCCTTCCTTAGGCAAGGCACCAAGTGCCAACACCCTGGCGACAGGAACGCCTGAAAAGCGAGACCTCCCATCTTACGCTCGTTACACCGAATGGGGGTTTACGAAAATAAGGGACCCAAATAAAGACTCCAGAAGAGTAGGATTCCTTTACAATCAGAACCTCAATAAGGTACCCTTAACTTCGGAAACCCCCAAACTCGATTTGATGAGTTTCTTGGGCGAGCCTTCACGAAAGCAGGAAAGCTTCAGGGCTTCAAGGTTTTTGGTCCGCGAAGGTTGGGGACCCCACGTTCAGTCACTCTAGGCCCGAAAAAAATCAAATGTGTGTTTGGGGCAAGAAGCCTTGTAATATTCTCCTTCCCCACCAAAGAAATTCTGAAGGGGGCAGATGCATCTCCCAGAAATCCGCCGTAAGCCCTTGAGGGCCTAGACAGAGCGCCCTTAAAATGTTAGATGTCTCTTTCGAGCCGAAGCCTACTAGGGTTTAGGGTTTAGGGTTTAGGGTTTAGGGTTTAGGGTTGTGGTGGATGCTCTGACCAGCAGAGCTTTCAGGTAAAGCAGAAGAGTCCACTTCACCCTGCTTGTCTGAGCTGTAAAGACTAACCTCCGCTTTTTCTTTGCACACTCAACTCTGCACCTGGTACCCCTAAACCCTAAACCCTAAACCCTAAACCCTAAACCCTAACCCCAAACCCTAAACCCTAAACCCTAAACCCTAGGCTTTCGAAGCCCAAGGCCCGTACCCCCAACCTCCTAGGCATGTGAAGCACCTCAGGTGGCATGCCTGGCGCGGAGCACCTGCGTGACTCGCAGATTCTCGTAGATTTGCTCAAGGTGTCGAAGCTAAGACGCTTTTCAAGCCCCACTTCGGCCTTAAGACGGTATTTGGGAGGTTCAAGGTGGCAATGCCCTAAACCCTAAACCCTAAACCCTAAACCCTAAACCCTAAACCCTAAACCCTAAACCCTGAAGGTGCAGAAAGAGAGCGGCCGGTTGACTGCAGCAGTGTGCGCCAGCCCTGCCGTGGTCTTCGCCCACCACGGCCTCGTCGATAATTCAGCCACCTGTGGCTAGTCAGACTTTGGCATTTCGGGTTTAGGGTTTATAAGGGTTTATAAGGGTTTATAAGGGTTTATAAGGGTTTATAAGGGTTTATAAGGGTTTATAAGGGTTTATAAGGGTTTATAAGGGTTTATAAGGGTTTATAAGGGTTTATAAGGGTTTAGGGTTTATACGTTTTGGATGAAGGGCCGGCTCCAATGGCGTTGGCCCAAAGTAACCTCCATAAGGCGCCCCCGCTAACCTCAAACCCCGCACAGCCTGGAACTCCATACCTTCAACCGGTGCCAAAGCTTGTCGAGCCCAAGCCCTTTACCAAACTCCGTTTGAAGCCCTGAGGCTACCCGGCACCGAAGTTCAAAGAGCTGGTGGGCCCCGGCTGGCAGGACGCCAAGGTGCTCGGCAAGGGGTTGGAGGACGTTTGAAAGGGCGGATTGTCGCAGAGTCCAGGATGCACACTCTGTCTCTCGATATGGAGTTGTTGACTTTGTGCCGCACTGGGGCGAAGTATCTGTGAGCCTGTACTGTAGTACCAGTGTTGGAGAGTTGCAGTGAGAGTGAAGTATCGCATGCAGCATCCCTTTCCTTGTAACTTCACAGGACCAGCCTTTCAACAGCCCGGGATGGTGGGAGCAAATTGCCGAAGACTAGGTCTTACTCCCCCGGGGTTCATGTTTTCTTGATTACTGCGGCCCCGCGGCTGCCCTGCGGGCCTGTGCATTTACAGGGTGAACTTGTCAGCAGGCTGGTTTTTGGGGCCTGTGATGCCAGAAGCCCATTGACTTCACCAGTTTCGGTGCGTGGAAGGCGGTAGTGGATGGCAACGTCATCACAAGCCAAGGCCCTGGGACCTCGCCCCTCGGTGGGGGCTTATGAGGGTTCGGGTAGTACCCTGCAGACACCCATCGTCAGCGCTTGCTTTTATCATCCATATCAAGACTGGAATCTGGAATGGCGAGTTGTCTCCATGGTCAGGTCTTCGGGCTCTAAGCTATACTGGCTCGGAGATGTGGATGGAATAGCGCACGCCCAGAATGCCAGCAGCACAGCAAAATACAGTAAATCTCCGAACCTCCCACAACGCCCAAAAGCACACAGTGCCGAGAAAAATGCTGCGAACTTTGAGGCTTCAGTTTGCGCTGAAGATCGTGGAGCAGCTCTACGGCGCAGAGAAGGCTGAGGACAGCGCGCACCGAGCAAACCGAGCAATGTAAAGGGCCTGAATAACTTGAAAAGGGTTTTGAGAGATATTATATAGTATATTTATCCAGGGACCCTGAGGGAATAGTATTAATACTCATTCCGACCCATATATTAGCGTCACAGGGCGTTATGCAGCGTACTGTCGCGGCATGTGTCGGTCTGGTTGAGAGTTTCTTGAAGCTTCCCAAGCTGGGGAGTGAGGAGTGGATCTGAAATACGTGTGCAGTTGGACGATGTTGGGCACGTGTGGTTTGGCAAGATACCAAAGGTATGGAGCTTCTTCGGTATCTAAAGCCAAAATGGCATCCAAGAAATCGCTGTCATTCCCATTCACGTTAGCTCTCGTAGAGCCCCCACTCGGCTCAGGACTAAGCATCACGACGCCAAGCCCCAAGGAAGTGCATAAGACCCGCTCAACTATTTGACAGGAGCTCGCGGCTCAAATGGTTACCGTCACGGCCTGACATCTGCTCGGTGAGACAGGGAGTTTCGGTTAGGGATTAAGACCTTAAGAGGTAGAACAGTTGTTCAGTATTTCTTGAAAGCATCCGGCGGGCCCCTTGCTTGCACCTCCTTGGTGGCCTAAAAGCCACGAGACTTTGACCTGACCAGACTCGATGGATGCTTGAGATGAAACCAGACTGGCAATAGACGGGCCGAAAGGCAAAAGAATCTCCCGACAATGGTTCGGCTATTTCATGCTGTTTCCACGCACGTGCATGTTGCAAGCCAAGACATCTTCCAGATTCCGAAGCCTCGGTCCCATGTGGTCCCGAATTTCACATCAAGATGCATGGAGTCTTTTTGTTGAGCCCAACTGCTCTGCAGGACCGGACAGCTTTCTACCTCCGCAACTTCCCGTGAATGCCAGAGTAGCAGGGTTTCCAGTATGCGTGCATCCCTTCATCCCATGTCTCATGGTCGACCGTGCTTGTGTTTCGGGCAGCTTGCAGTGTCAAGTCGGCACGTAGAACTTTTGCGAGGTTTGTAGCAGGGCGCATGAGAGTCCACCGTTTGCATGGATACCGTGCGTGTTCAGTGCCTCATCTTGAAGTTAGTCATCTCATTCATTCATGTCCTTTCCTTTGGAGCACTGCAGCTTCATGCAGCTTGTAAAAAGCGAAGCATGTTCTCCGCGGATGAAGCAGGAACGTTGTCGAGGGAGTAGGGGGGGGGGGGCGGGACGGTCTCAAAAATCAACTGAAACGTTTGGAGGGCCTGCGCTCGAAGTTACATTTTTGCGGCTTTGGCACCGCGAGGTCAAGAGGTGCATGCAGGTTTCCTCAGCAGCTTGAAAGGCAGGCAGGCCTTAAATCATGGGACCTCGCTCCAACCGAGAGCAGTGCTGTCAGTTTTTGTCTCAGTTGTCAAAGGTGTTTAAACTGGCAGTATGTTCTTGAAGAGCTGACAGTTGATCACATGCCCGCGCCTCCGTCAATGGTCCAAGGGCCACAGATTGTTTCGAATAGAGTGAAAACATATCCATGGTTTTTTGGATGGGTTGCAATTGCATTGGGTCGTTGATGGAAGCACCACTGATGTTTGCAGATGTTGTCGCTCATCGGTATAAACACTGTGGTGGGCTCTCCGAACTAGAGCAGCGATCAGCGGTAGCCTTCCCTACTTCTGCTCATCGGTTTTCAACTGCAGCAATTGGGAGGCGTTTGCGTTGGTTCGGTCACAGTGTCCAGTAGCCATGGCTTCAGCATATGGCAAAACGGCCGCAATCCAGTCCCAAAGGCTATAACGTTGGAGGTGTGTAGCAAAGTGCATGGTCCAGGCGATTTGGGGCGAGGTTGTTTGTTCCAATTGTGCCACGCGTTGGTTAAATTCCGGGTTTTTTTTCCGGGATTCCGGCACTGAAGGGGACCATTTGCAACCCTTGGCGAGATCGTTTTGCTTACAAAGTACGTATACGACAACTTTATGACATGTATGTAGTGTTTGACATAATGTTTTGCGAAATCTAATGCCATGGGTGATCTCGTACAAAAGAATCAGAGCAGCAATATCCACTTGCCCCAAAATCGAAACGCCCGCTCAGGTTTGCGGCTTATCAACAACAACGCTACTTCTGGCGGGTGCCGTGCTGACCGTGGTGTGGGTATGTGTTGTACATTAATTGAAATGGTCTTTTTTGTTTTTTTGTTGGGTGGCTGCCTCAGTCCAATCAACTGGACACTTTCAGCTCTGGTAAACAGGTCCTCAAATCGAAGTTTGGATGGCATGTTGAAAGTCTGAACTTGACATATGTTTTCTCACACTCAGAAAGTGTTCTTGAAACTGAGGGTCCGTGGGTTTAGATGTTTGGACATGCATAAGCGATGGGTTCTGCAATTCGTCGGGCGTTGGGCTGTAGCGAATTCTGCTTGGTTCTTGATAGGGGGATACAGGTTGGGGCTGTGAAATATCGCCGCCCTCGGCTTGTGCTTTCATTCAGCTACTTCCCATTTCCCTGTTACATGTGAACAAGTGGGTGATTCCAAAGTAAGGTCCCTCTGCATGGCCTAGTAAAAGCTCCATAGCAATAGAATAAGCGCGTTCCAGGTGCACCAGTAGCCTAACCCTAGACCCTAGACCCTAGACCCTAGACCCTAAACCCTAAACCCTAAACCCTAGGCTCTCGCTGCTTTTGCCAGGAACGGTCGGGACTGGATCATCTTCGGAGATGAAACGTTCAAGCGGGGCAAGGCCTGAGTGAGGTTTGCATAGATTTGGGTTCAGGGGCTTCATGACGTTTAGGGTTTAGGGTTTAGGGTTTAGGGTTTAGGGTTTAGGGTTTAGGGTTTAGGGTTTAGGGTTTAGGGTTTAGGGTTTAGGGTTTAGGGTTTAGCCGCTTGGAGTTCAGCGATTTTGGTGTTGAGGGTTGCAAGGAACGTGCAGCTTGAAAGGTTGGCTTCTGAGTTCTGAGTTTCCTAAACCCTAAACCCTAAACCCTAAACCCTAAACCCTAAACCCTAAACCCTAAACCGTAAACCCTAAACCCTAAACCCTAAACCCTAAACCCTAAACCCTAAACCCTAAACATGCATGCACTATCGGCTCCTCAGGGCTTTTCTTCTTCTTGTCCGTGCACGTGAAGCACTCCCGAGCTTGATTGGATACTATTGTTCTCGGCAGGGAGCTGTGATGGAACAAAAGGTAAATGGGTTAGTTCTCTAAATTAGGGTCCCCACCTTTGTGGGGTCCCTTTTTAAAGGGTGCCGCCTTATAATGAGTACCCAAAAAGGGACCCTAATTTAGGAAACTGCCCAAATACTGGAGTTGAAGTCCCTAGCAGTAGGCGTGATGACTCAAGTTCGAAAACCATATGTCCGAGACCTTTCAACTAACGCAACCTCAACGTATCTTCATTGCCAGGAATCCGTAGCTCGGAAGCTTCAAGCTAAACATCCTGGCAAGGCTGAGAGCCCGGCTGTCAGAGGAAGTCCCGCGATGGAGGCTAACCCTAATCCCTTCCCCCTTTTAGTACATACCCCCCTAATTATAAACACACTTTCTGGAAAATCCTGTCGAAACCGACCCCGCCTTGTCAAACCTATTCCGAATTAGGGGGTGGGTTCAGGGCTCTCAAAGCAATCCTAAACCCTGAAACCCCTTCCCTCTCCCTAAAACCTAATTTCAAACACGAAACCCTGAAACCCTAAAGTCTCTAGGCTACCTGTGTTGAAGTCTTGTGTCTATCTGAGTTTTTCTCCTTTTGGGGGGGTGTGGTGGCCAATGTGGCTGAGGGTTTTTGAGCTTGGCTTCCTGGAGGCTTCAAGAATCTGAGGCGTTTGTGTGTTGACTAGTGGTTAGCTTGCGGCTTCAATTCAGGTATCAGCCAACACACGAAGATTTCCGCCGAATATGCCGGACTGCCCACCCTTATCCCGCCCCGAGAATCCCTGGGGAGCTACGGAGAGAGTCCACTCCAAAGAATCTGCCAGAATCTCGCCAAGTATCCCTGAAGTCCCCTCCGCCGAGTATGTTAGCAGCTGCATCTACAGCCGAAAGGGAAACGATCCATGGATATCTATAGACTATAGAGAATACATATCAAACAGGATGGGGGAAATCTCTTGCGGGATCTCGCGCTGCGGTACAAGACAGAGCGTTTATATCAAACAAGGGGCAGGGAAGTTCATCTGAGCGCACAAGCCAGGGACACAAAGCACGCATGTCAAACAGGATTTGGGTTAATTAGTTGTTTCGGCCCTGACAGTTTGGGCGCAAGCAGACG